ATATTGATATAATATTATATTTATATTGATGTAAATGACATTGGTTTTATTGGGACCCATGTTCTCTAGCCTTGAACCGTCCATGATGATAGTCTTAATTGGGCTCATAAGGTCTATGTCCCTCAGGGTACTGCCGGAACGTACCCTGGGTACGGTCCGGTATACCGGAACGTACCCTGGTAACTATCTGATATGGTTAGGGTTAGGGAGTAGGCGTAGGCGACTCCCTAGACTCGTTAGTAGAGTAGGCGAGGTACGGTCCGGCATATTAGACAGTACCAGAGTACGTTCTGGTATCCCGGATCGTACCCAGGGTACGTTCTGTTGTACCCTGGGGGACATAGACCTTCTCAGCCTTAATTGGGGTTAGGGTGATTGTGCCTTGTGGTTACGTAGGTCTATGTACGGGGTGGTGGAGGGAGGGTCGAAACGTAGTCCAGCACAGTAGTAATGCTCATAGGGTCTATGTCCCCCAGGGTACTGCCGGAACGTATCCTGGTAACTATTTGATATGGTTAGGGTTAGGATTAGGGTTAGGGTTAGGGTTAAGGTTAGGGTTAGGGTTAGGGTTAGAGTTAGGGTTAGGGAGTAGGCGTAGGCGACTCCCTAGACTCGTTAGTGAAGTAGGCGAGGTACGGTCCGGCATATTAGATAGTACCAGGGTACGTTCCAGCAGTACCCCGGGGGACATAGACCCTCTCAGCAGTAGTAATACTACTACTAGTAAGTTAATTTTAGTCTCAACAATCTACAAATGGGCTGATACTTGATTATTGTTCTTGGATTAGGTTGGTATTTAAGCACTAGATTAGGGATAGGATTAGGTAAGTGTTTGGGTTAGGGTAAGAAATGATGTGATTTATATTATGAGGGCCTGTTACCGGAAGGATTAATCTGCAGTCGACTTCATTGTTTTCTTCTACTGGAAGTGATACGTACATGACTTTATTTAGCGCATGATTTGCTTTCTTAGGCTGATAGTGCAGTTGAATGCAGTTTCAGAATGAAATGTCTCTTGGTGATCTGTGATGTTTTTTATAGACTATGTGCTTGAGTGCCTTGATGGCTATTGATGTCAGCGAAGTGTGATCTATATAGTAGGCTACCGCTCTATTAGGAGTGTTCCCAAATTTGATATCATTAATGATTAATGATTAATGATTAATGATTGATAATCCTAACCCTAACCCTAACCCTAACCCTAACCTAAATGACATTAAACCACAAACTAATATATGACCATGACCATATATATATGATGTTATTATGACCATTAATGACATTAAAGTTGGCAACACTCCTAATGGAGTATCACCCATATAGTACGAGGGTTAATTAATTACTACATTTTTTAGCACATGGATTTTGCATTAATGCTTTTAGTATGTTGAGGATAATTCTCTGGTAAAAAGAGCTGCAGTGCTCCAGGTGTTAGCATGTCCACCATAAACATAATAATAAGCCTGTGAATTCAAACCTCGGCCTGGGAAGTGAGGTTTCTCAGGGGGTGAATTCCTGGCCCTCAACATAGATCATCTTCAGCAATGGGAATGTAAAAGAACCACTGAGGATGCAAACACTTCAAATGGCAGTGACCACCTTCAGTGTCAGAAAAGAGGTCCGCCTGGCGTAATTCACTTGGACTAATTAGTGAATGAGACCTCAATTTCTTAATTATAACACAACTATAGTTAGTCAATAGATTGTGACCAAGTAGTCAAAAATGCATATATGGAGATGTAGATGCACAAGCAGATGCCTAGTTGATGACACTGAGGCTGGGCAACATTAGATGAGAGTAATTAAACCTTGTCATTAGCAGGCAGTATCGTATTTGCTAGTAATGAACAGCTGCTTTGTAGGGTTCACTGGTTGGCAAGCCTTTGCGGATGCAGGTTTAAACCAGCATTATTGATGGAAGCTTTATATGGCTTTCTTGTAGGCTAGGAATGATGGTTCTTGGTGATAAATTCTACTAAGAATTAGTATCGTCAGTACTACTAATATCTTATTCATAATATATTATTTTAATGTGGTTTTGATACCCATTTAATAAAATTCTACAATCTCTGTTTGATTGCTTTCAGAACATGGCATCCACAGAGGCAAGTGAGGCTCTGCAGCGAAAGGAGGAAGGCAATAAATATTTTCAGGTCGGCAATGTCATGTTATCTTTTATATATACCAGGGTTTCTTATACATAATAGGCACAGTGGCGCACCGCCGTTGTCAAATTGAACATCGCCATTGTGAAAATGTTCTCAAATGCAGTCTAAGACATTCAAATTTAAAAAACTTTGCTGGGGAGACCCCCCAGAACCCCCCCCCCAGTGAGAGGGGGCATTCTCCCTCTCCCTCTCTCTCCCGCGTCCGCATGCGTGCCTACGGCACGCCTTTGAATCCATCATGCACATTTTTTTCTCCCAAACTGGCCATTACTTCCTTTGTCTAATTTTCCCTCAGAAGAACCCGTGTATACCAATAATCTAATTTGTGAAGTCACACCAAATATACATTATTCAATAAGACAAACTATAATGGAAAGATATGACAAGTGATGATATCTGTAAGCACCATGCATATAATTTGGGATTTTTTAAGGCATAAACTGGTTAATTTCTAAACCACACTATGTCATGCAAGTCTTAAACTTACATGGCAGCAATAGAGCGTATATTACAACTGCGATTCTTCACATTAGGCTGGCGACTACGCAAAGGCTGCTGAGTGCTACACGGCTGCCCTGAAGTTATGTCCTGCCAGCGACAAGAAGGACCATGCAGTATTCTACAAGAACAGAGCAGCCTGCCACCTAAAGCTCGAGAACTGGCAGAAAGCTGCAGACGATGCCACTGAATGTGAGCGCGGATGTCTCGTTTAGTATGATCATTTTGTTACTGTGTAATGTTAACGAGAATATGTTGTCAAACGAGCGTAAAGTTACTTGTCTACGGGCATTTTATGGATGTTGTGAACTTGTGATACAGAGTACATGCGAAAAGATGTTGGCATATGCTGTGTGCAAGGAGAGATTTTGTTTTTAACTCTCAACTTTTTACAAAGACATTTTATTTGCTTGATAGAATTGTTCCTATGTAAAAGCTGGGTAAGACCTAATCAACTAAATAAAGTCAAACTATTAATCAGTGAGACAATTACTATATTCTTTAGTATAGCATGTCCACTTTTTCTTCTCAATTATTTCGAAAAAATGCACAAATGACTCCCAAGTGGTCTACATGTTGAGCAATATTCAAGTTGGCTCAAATACTACCCGCATGGACTATGAGTGCACAAAAAGTGTTTTTATCATCCGCCAAGACCTTTGTGTCATTCACGTGGTGTAACCGTCATCTCGACAGCACCAGCAAGGCGCAGTTCTGGCGGACGCCACCTACGCAGGATGCGAAACTGACGCGAGTCCAGAGTCAAATACTCCCTGATTTACTGTCGGACTCCCTGATTTGACATATATGCAGGAGTCCGTGTGACTCCCTGAAAATTCGGCTATACTAACTATAGTTCGTTCCAGAGCACGGCCTCGCGGAATTGCCGTATTTTTTTCAGCAAATGTCCAAAGAAAATTTGGCAGACGTGCATCGCATGAATCTTCAAAATAAGCACATGGCATGCGTTATTGTTGTTATGCTTTAGTTTTGAACTTCAGACTGCGGACTCCCTCATTTTGCCGCGGACTCCCTCTTTTTGAGGGTAGGGAGTCCAACAGACTCCCTTGTTCAAAAGTTAATTTCTACCCCTGCATATACGTGTTTAATGCTTCTCACCTCTCTCGTGCATCGCAGCGATCGAGATCGTTCCGGCCGACAGCAAGGCGCGCTTCCGGCGCGCGCAGGCATACGACCATCTCGAGAAGTACGATGTGGCATTCAAGGACGCTCGCGCCGTCCTCCACCTCGACAAGAACAACAAGGCCGTCCTTCCCCTGCTGGAGAAGCTCAGTGCAAAATTACAGGAGAAGGTCAGTGCAAAATTACAGGAGAAGGTCAGTGCGAAATTACAGGAGAAGGTCAGTGCGAAATTACAGGAGAAGGTCAGTGCAGAATTACAGTAGAAGGTCAGTGTGGAATTACAGGAGAAGGTCAGTGCGGAATTACAGGAGAAGGTCAGTGCGGAATTACAGTAGAAGGTCAGTGTGGAATAACAGGAGAAGGTCAGTGCGGAATTACAGGAGAAGGTCAGTGCGAAATTACAGTAGAAGGTCAGTGTGGAATTACAGGAGAAGGTCAGTGCGGAATTACAGGAGAAGGTCAGTGCGGAATTACAGGAGAAGGTCAGTGCGGAATTACAGGAGAAGGTCAGTGCGGAATTACAGGAGAAGGTCAGTGCAGAATTACAGGAGAAGGTCAGTGTGCTCGACAACCTCGCGCAGATCAACGAGATTGCTCGGGGTTCTTTTTGCTCCCGGCAATTACATGTTAGCATGAGAATACTAGCGTGTGAAGGGTACTAATACTATAGAATACACCTGGAGATACGCCTACTATACAGGTGTGGAGTATGTAATATTGTATATGTTTGTTTCGGAAGTCGGACAAATTGGGTTCTGGGGAAAAATTTGTGAACTTATTCATATGTGCGCATTGAAGTACTATGTATACCCACGATGAATAGGCAATTCCTTTCAATGCATTACCAAAAATATGTGCATGATCAAAAACCCTGCTTGCCCAGTTTATGCAGTGTTATCACACATCCTTGGTTGATTAAAAATCGTTGTTAGCCATACCAGTGAACTCCTGTGTACTGTAGCCACAAGTATACATGGAAGAGAAAATACACAGCGTCATGTGAAGTAGTAGGCGAGACAATTCAGTGTATTTGTTAGCATGTTTGGCAGGTTTGTGCATGGTAATGTGATGTGAATGAGAATCGATATTTCTACCACAATGGCAGGTGTGCTGTGAAAACAACTGAACCATAGCGTATTAATCACTAGATCATCATTGATTTCCTACATCGGTGCTGCGTCAACTGAGCCGTAGGATCTGGTCGCGCCGGCCAAACAGCGGTTGTTTGTCACGGGCGCGTGCCGCCGCGTACGCCACGCCACGCCGCCGAAATGTATCAAACGCTTTATTTGCGCAGAGTAAGGAACAGCACAGCACCAACAGCAGGGTGTCGCAGATGCTACAGGCGTTATTCGATCCGAACGCTGACACGGAGAAAAGGTCGGCGGCGGCCAACAACCTCATCGTGCTCGGCCGCGACGCTCCAGCCCAGCTTTTCCAGGTACCCGCCTGATTTACGCGTGTCATCGGGAATGCGCTTAGCACCCCACCCCGGGTCGCATTTGTCTGTGTGCAGATCGGTCGAGAAAACCTGCTGAAAATGCCATTCGTAGATATCATAGGTGTCCATTCTATTGTGGTTGTTTCAATGTGTTACCATCACTCGAGAGAAACTTTGTGTTATTTTTCGTGAGGTGTCTGTTCTATTGAGGTTGTTTTGCTGTGTACCCACCACTCAGGGGAAACTCTCATACGTGTCCTTTATAGACGAGTGTGCGTTCTGTAGAAGTGTCCGCTATAGCGCACTGTCCAGTTTGACTGCGTATCATGTGTTAATTGAGTTCTAGGCATACACAACTGCTTTGTGGCATGATGACATGCCACGTTTTCATCTGATAATGTTCAACACCCCAGTCACTGTTACAGCTAATGTCACCGTTAATACCAGGGTTCGAAATTGGGCGTATAATTGTAGTAAATGTGCCTTTATTTTTGAAAACGGTGAGCTCAAAATCCCTTCATATGCAAATTTTCGCTGTCGTTCTTTTTCACTCTGTCATTTTTCCACCTCTTAAATGGATTTTGGCATCATAGGTGGTATCCTGTTGACAGAAAAAACCCTGCTTTAAAATATAACAGCTAAGATACGTCCATTTTTTAGCACCTTGCCTGGGTTAGTTAATCATGGCTCCCTGTAACGTGCTCGTGTTGTGAACTATTCATTGCTAATGGATAGAATTTTCTGCTGTAGGGGGGAGGTGTGAAGATGCTGTTGCCCGTGCTCGAGTGGAAGGAAGAGGAGTACGTTCTTGCAGTTCTACGCACGCTGGACGGCATGTGTATCAACAACCAGGATCGAGTACGTACACGATTTACTTCTGGACAATTTATATCATGTTACGATTTATATCTGTGGTCACAAGTTGCCATCACTAGCTTTGAAATTTATTTTGCTTTATTCCGCTGCTGAGTTCAGCCGATAGACCTGTTATGATGCGAGGTATAATTGGATCTAGTTTCTATGAGAGTTTGTTGAATGATTCAAAGTGAACATGGGGAAGTGAAGGCGGTCCGGTCTACATGCTTTCAGTAACCCGAGTAAAAATTTCAGGTGTGGGGCAGAATTTTATCCTGAGAGGCTTTCATTAGATTGAACATGTTCAAGTTATCATTATTCTTAAAATAATGTTTTATAGAATAATCACCTCATATAATTTGACACAAATTACAATGTTAGTTGCACAATAATTACTGATAAACATACGTTCTCTCGTAAACTAAAAATTTCTGTATAGTTGTGGTCAGTCCCGTCATAGCAAACCAGATATACACATTAGGCGGTGCCTAATGTGTATAAGTTCTTCGTCGCAGGCTAAGGTCATAGTTGCTGAGGTCGGATTCCCACGGCTGCAGCAGCAGCTAACGAGGAACTCAGAGGAGATCTGCCTGGCGTCGGCCCATCTCATCCTCAATGTTGTCTGTGCTCTCACAGGCCTGAACCGCGAGGCCGGCAATAAGGTGGAGATGGCAAAACTTAATGGTAGGTGCTGTCAGATGAACGAGGCCACTCTGGAGAATAATGGACCTCTACGGTTGCAAATGAAACTAAACGTTAACTCGTATGGCATACACGCATTGGCGTGCATTTGCAATTTTGTTGACATGCACGTAAAAACCCTTGCGTTAAATTCGAAACGTGCTCTCCAAGCAAACGTTGTCATTCAAACAAATTTATAAATAATAGGTTAAACTTCTCCGGAGACCCCGAAAAACGTGTGTGGCACAATACCGTATTACTGTATATAATAAGGCATACTGTCGCACATGCGTACGTAACACATGGGGTTTGCACTGTGTAATCACCAACGTGACCAAACTCCTTTTGTAAACGTTCACAGAATCGCCCACTACGTTGTAGTTGCTGGTTTTCTGTGATTATACAGAACCTATATTGCGAACCCCCTTAGTAACCTACTTGGAAATCTTTTGACCCTGCAAGATTTTGCTTTCTCAAACCCAGCATTACTTATAACTATATGCGTTACCTGTATACAAAAACTATGCAATTATCTCATTGCCGATTCCACACCAAAATAGCATACTTTCAAAAAATGCTTTTCACCAACATGCATATATAATGTTATCATATATTAATATTATATTATTTATTATATTAATTTTATGTTATGTTATGGTATTCTAATTTTGTGTTATATTATATCAGGAGTCTATCAAATATTGATAGACTCCTGATTATATTATTATATCATATCAGGAGTCTATCAAATATTGATAGACTCCTGATTATATTATTATATCAATTTTATATTATGTTATATATTAATTATATATTATGTTATATATTAATTTTATATTATGTTATATATTAATTTTCTGCTATATTATATTATTAAAATAATTATATATTATTATCACTACACTATTTAGCCAACATCAAGATGATCGGATCGATCATGAAGGCCATCATGCACATCGTGACGGACGTGACGCTGTCGGGATACGGCCGCGATGCCGTCACCGACCTCATACTGAAGCTGGTGCCACGCACCGGCGGCATCGACTGGGTGCGCAGATTTCTCGACGATAAAGGTGCGTAGCAGCGCCGCGATCGACGGGGGGTGGGGGTGCGTACCGAAGTGTTGTCGATTACGATTTCAGGCTTTCATTTTTAAGGGGCGCGATAGCGCTCGCGCTCCACCGCGCACCCGAAATTGTGCCATGGTGCGCGCATCATCGCGCCTCATAAAAGTGGTTGAAATCGCGCACCTAAAGTATGTCTATTATGTTGAAATAGCGCTCCATAGAGTTCTCAATGTAGGGGGGTACAAAAAGGTTAGCAACACACAACAATTTGTGGTGTGTAAGTGACTGAACGTATGGCAGAGGTACAGGTCTGGTTACTACCCTCTGGTTTATATATATATATAAATACAACTAAACAACAGCATCCAAATACAGGTACCTATACGGTAGCCACAAGTTACCTGCTCGTTTTCTACTATACGTGGCGAGAAGTAGTTTTCTGCGGACGTGAAACAGTCGTAGGGCTGGAGGGGCTACATACGTGGCTACTACGTACAAGTAATTTGGCTAGTTTGTTGATGGATTGTGATGATATTTTGTGCTGAAATATGCAGGTACATGGATTAGAATCTCTAAGGATGGAAATCAGAATAAATAAAACAAGTTTATTTTTACATCCGATCAACTCTTTTATTAATCTGTGGGCTATTGTTGGGTTGTTGGATGAAAAGAATGTAATCCTGACGAAGCCATTGAATGAATGAAGGTGAAGATGAATGATAATCAGTAGATTGACATGACATCCCAATTTTCGTTTTGGATTTCACTCTAGACTGAGGATTGGTCATGATTCCATCATCACACCCCAAGAGGCATGATGGAGAGCCCTCAATGAGCTCTCCATCATCCCTTTTAAAGGTGTGATTTTTAGTGGAGCTCTCCATCATGCCTCTTAAGGGTGTGATTTTTTAGTGGAGCTCTCCATCATGCCTCTTAAGGGTGTGATTTTTTAATGGAGCTCTCCATCATGCCTCTTAAGGGTGTGATTTTTTAGTGGAGCTCTCCATCATGCCTCTTAAGGGTGTGATTATGGAGCGTGAAAAGACCACCTATGGTGTCCTAGGGGAGTCATTAGTAGTCCTCCTGTACTTTTCAAATCTGAAAGCCTGCGATTTGAGCTGTTGTGATGTGTATTGTACTGCGGCGATGGTTGCATTTGCGTCACGATAGACATGGCTTGGGTGCGAGAGCTCTTGCCGGTGGCACGGACCCTGGATTCATCATACAAAGTATCGTCAATTTCGATTTGCATGGGCTGCTGTGATGTGTATTGTATTGCTGCAAACGATTGAAACTGCATTATCAGCTGGTTTGCGCGACACATGGTCATTACACATTAGGGGTTATGCACACTCTTAATTTTAAATTTCGTTTCTAAGCATATTAGTTGCCACCATTAGGCTCATTTATATTGGGTTTTATTCATGCAAAACGTCATATTTAGCACAATTCATGTAACAGTAGAGGTGTCCCCTCATCGTAAATATAGCAGGCTAGCATGAAGTGTAAAATCCCATTGTAAAAGTTAACAGATTTTACAATAAATTTACTGAAATCATGCATCATGCCTTCATCACCACCAAACCAATCACCAAACCAAAACTAATCGCATGTAGTTTCTTTGATCGATCGTAGTAAAGACACTTGCCGATCAGCACGAATAAACTTTGCAGATAGGCCTTCCCAGCTAACCATTTGACATTGTGGCAATGTAAATTTGTAGACTCCCCTGAACGTTGCCACAACGTTGTGGAGTAACATTGTAATGTAACATTCCTGCAACCATGTGTACATGTTCAAATGAATATTAAATATTTAATTTAAAGCAGAAAAGACATTAGCATGAACGGTGACATGTACATTATTTCACAGGAACATCAGGGAATTTTACATTCGTTTAAATTGACAATACCGCCTGTAAGCCCATGAAATGCATAATTTTAGTTTGTAATTTTTTGCCATAAAAACCAAGTTAATATATATTTTAAATAGCATCGCGTGCATGTCTTTTTCAGCATGCTGGGAGATGCTGAAGGTCGGATCCTGCATTCCGGAGATGACGACGATGCCCATCACGTCGGAAACACGCGGCCACATCGCGCTGGCGCTCAACAACATCTACATGGACCTGGAGAGTGACAGCGAGCGAGCGATATTCCGAACGCAGTGCGAAGACTACATTATGTGAGCGAGATATTTCCTGGTGGTCGATATTAACATATTTATAGTTTTAGGGGAATGCAGTGCGAGGACTACATTATATGTGAGTGCGATATATCCCAGGAGGGAGATGGTTGACATTAACATATTTATAGTTTTTCGGTGAAAGCAGGTCTGCTGCCGGAAAAGGGAAAGTAACGGTGTGCTTTTTTCCAGCGTAAAAGTTGAAAAAAACATTAAATATATAGGGTTAGGGTTAGGGTTAGGGTTAGGGTTAGGGTGCATTTTAGTAATAATATTAAATTGAAACGTCACCCTTTTATGGGAAGGTTGATTTGGAAGGCAGTTTTCTTTTAAGTTTAACCCCCCTAGGTATTGATGTGTCGACCCATGCACGCTGTTGTGTGATACGTGGCCTCAGCCTAACCCCATCATTCACAAGTTGTCTAACATGAACATTCCTGTTCTTCCCAGTCCCCATGCACCAACAGGAAATTAATTGGACTCAAGCAGGAGAAATGTCCACTTGAAACCTAGTCTGTTCACATTTAACTGGGAGAATTGATTGGACGGATAATGATGCAAATTTTATCCTCGCAGGGTGCTGATAGATGACCCATCCCATGAGTCTAAAGTCAAGTGTGTTATTGCCATCACAACACTACTACAGGTTTGGTTCATCAATAATTGCACACACATCTCGTTATTATATTGATTGCTTGTCACCGCCTCAAATTATTATCCAATAAATCATTATTGAATTATTATTCATCCTATAATAGAAGTAGATTTATTGTTATTATGCTACATAAACAGATTTATTGTTAATGTACTACAGAATAAAATTTATTAATAATATTTTTCTGAGTACTACAGGCTAAATGCAATCATGCTTGAAAGGCATGTAAAACACAGAACTTGTTTATCTCCAAAATTTAGGGTCCGTTTGACGTAGGCAACAGCATTCTTGGAACTAAAGGCATGCTTGAGATCATGCTCGTTATGGCTGGATCAGATGACGTGCTGCAACAGGTGAGTGCATGCTACCCTGCATAAGCAATGACCATTGGTTTTTATGCCAAATATATACATTTTGTGACATTTTTAATATACCTGTATACATGTATATGTAGGTAAAGTCCATAGCTTATGTAATGTGTAAGATTTACAGCGCGCGCACCACACAGTGACACACGCGTGCGTGCACACGCACATACACATCGCACGCACGCACGTACATATTGTTATATATATATATATATATATATATGAACACAGATTGCTTCATTTCTAGTTAAAACAAATTTGAATCCGTTTATCAATGTGTGTTACTGAACTAAACAGTATCTCAGAGATGATGTTTTCCTGCCTGTAGCAAGTATCGGTGGAGGCTATCATCCAGGCATCAACGAAAGCAGATAAGAGTGCGGCCATCATATCTCAGGGAACACCCATTCTGAAGAAGCTGTATCAGTCGAAAAATGAGAACATCAAAGTCCGGGCCCTTGCGGTGAGTGCTAGTCAGTCTGACAAGGGGCTAATGTGCTCAATTGTATTTGAGTTTATCATGTGGTAAGGATGCGCAGGTAAATAATATGGCTTTAAATGTCATAATAGACAGATGGATATACAGGATGGATTCATAAACAGATAGATTATAGACAAAGTGACAGGAATCAATTTCCCCTCTCACCAGTAGTAGAGGGTGTATAATTGCGCTTAATGTGAGAAAATGTAATTGTAATTGTAGTTTTTCTCTCATCTAAATTTGCATTGGTAAGCTTCACACGTTACGTTGAACAGAGGGACTATTGAATGTTCTGTTTTCACAGGCTCTGTGTAAGGCTGGTTCATCCGGTGGCACCGATGCATCGGCAAAAGCCATGTCAGAAGGCAGCACTATAAAGTTAGCGGACTCCTGTTTGAAGTAAGTGCTAGAGTTGGATCTACATGGTGCAAGCTCCAGTAAGATATAACTGTTTAGTGGCAATGAAAAGAAAAACTAGATATGCATAACCTGTTTGTTAATTTTACAGTTTATAATATTGTGAAATAATATATTAATTATAAATTATTTTTTTACTGACATATTTTTTGAATTTCCTTTTACAATCTCTGCTTGTAATGCTTTGTGTACATGCATGCGCTGACAACTGGACAAAGTGATTTAAACAGTAATGTAATATTTGGCAGTGCCACGCAAACCTGGTCAAGACTGGAACCTTAAACTGATAGGAATGATATAACAAAAACATGGTGGCAGTTCAATAACAAAATAATAGCTGTCCGTAACTAAGCGTGTTCGACGAATCCATTCTGCTAGATTCTTGCGAAGCTCGAAGAAAGACATGGTCATCCGTAAGTTTGCGGCCGAAGGTTTGGCCTACTTGACACTGGATGCTGAGGTGAAGGAAAAGGTCTCTGAGGATGAAGAGGCTCTCAAGTCTATCATTGAACTGGGCAAGGTGAGCATATATAGCTACCTGGCTTCATGATTCGCTTTCAGACATTGGGTTCAACGTGCCTTGTCAAAGCTGAAGCTGTATTGCAACGTCGCATAAATCCTTTCCTTCGCATGTGAATTCCCTACAGTAAGTTTCATTTGTCATGGCCAGTCCCAACTGTCCAATTCCTTACAAAGAAAAATGGCTTTCTAATTTTTAGCTCATCTGACGTAGTCAGATGCAGCTTGTAGAATCGCATGATCGTCCGTGCGTCCGTGCGTCCGTGCGGAAGCTCGTACCACATGAATGCTACACGCCAGAAGGACGCCAGACACGCGCAGAAGCGACGCTGGACCACACGCCAGGACCCACGCGAGCACACGATTGGGTATTCGTTGTATGTTCGTCGGCTGAGGTCTAGCAAACATTTAAGCGCACACACCTATAGCGCACACCTAGCATGCTTCTAACGCGCATGTCCAGCGACCATGCAGCGAATATGGGCGTGCTCGAACGAGTGGCTGACAGAGTCGTGTAGCGCGCCCACGCTTCTTCTAGCGTGTTCCTAGCGTGTACGGTATATAAACGGGTCCCGCCGCCACCTCCTCATGCATCACTTCTCCTCCGCCCTCATGGGTGATGACAGAGATTCCTGCTTATTCGTGTCTAGACGAACCACTCTAGAAGATGAGGATCCCAGACAGGCTGCCGACTACAATACGAAATCGCGGTTCTCCAACATTAGCAGAACCCTGCATGGAACTGGCACTTCACCAAGTCCATGTCATCAAGGAAGGAGAGAAGAGAAGAGGTCAACGGAGTTTCTGGTCCGACCGGTGATCGTCGGCCGACGACAGTTGGCCTGTATGACCAGCTACTTGTTGAACTCCGCGTAACGAAAGACCAGGCAGCCTTCACGAATTTCATGCGGATGCCCCCCCCCCGAGATGTTCGACGAGCTGCTAACCAGATTGGGTCGAGGATCACAAGCAGAATACCAACTACAGAGAGGCCCTCGACCCTGGCCTGAACAGCTTGCCCTCACTCTGCGCATCTTGTCTCTGGGCCAATATCACTCAATGTGTCCTATGGGGTGGAGGGGCATCACAACACCATATCCCTGCTGCATCCCAGAAGTGACCTGTGTGTTGGCTGTGTGCTGACTGTGCGCTGGCTGTGAGTTGAATGCGCGGTGCATGCGCGGTGCATGCGCGGACCAATCGTTCCGTGCGCTAGCAACACGCTGTGCTATTCGTTGGATTTTTTAACAATGTGCCTCCCTGTATACGCTCTGTATATATGCGCCCTGTATACGGCGCAGCGTCGCTAGCAACACGCTGAGCATTCGTTGTCAACATCGCTAGCTTCTCCAAATCCTGACAAAATTGGCGGCACCAACGACGCACTGATCTATTTTCCATTTTTTGATTAAGTTTTCAGTGCGCGGGCCGCGGGCGATGCGTCGTGTACGTGGTGACTGGGCATAAGCGACACAGTTATTAATATTATCACAAACATAAAATTGTATGCTTGAAGTTGTGTCTGTTACTTCTAAAGACACTGCTGATCACACATGTATCAACTGCTTTTTAAATTACTGATCTGTGCCTACCTTTGCCCCACCTTGCTGCACTAGATACCCTCTATGTTCCTTGTTTTCTGTCTATTGTGAAGAACACCCTGCGAAATAAGAAAGTAATCACAAGTCAATCAAATAAATCAGTCAACATTCTTCACTGCAAATACCTAGAATGTAGCTGATATCTGACTAACTCACCCAGTTACTTATTTCCATGGCCAATTAAAAGTAATTGGCTGCAGAAAAGTAATAGTAAAGTGTTGATAACACAGTGAATGTAAACATGTGACATTAACTACGTTACAAAAGATTTGTCTATGAAAGTGATTCGGTATCAGTATATTCATTATTTTGCCGTTTTTATGTAGGCTTCAGCTGGTTTTAAAAATCCAGCTAATTGGCACCTGTCTGGTCCAAGCTTGCTAGATTAGTGAAGAGTAACACTGCAACCATTTTACCTGGTTATGGCACCTACCTCATGAAGGAACTGTAATTATCTAACCACGCTATCTATCTAGCTCAGTTATAAACGCAGCGCGTTTACAGACCTGGCTATTATTCATTAGTTGTCTGACTCTTTGTTTTCTGCACATTCCCACAAGAGAGCTCACTATTCCGCACTTGACCAAGATGGAGACCCTGTCCACGTACTCCTTCTCATCCTGCAAGTGGATTTTAACGAAGATGGTGGCGCCACTGAATATGCAGAAACATAGTAAATACTGAGCTAAAAAATACTAAGAAACAATAAATACCATCAAATAAAAACTACACATCTTCGACTGCCGACAAGAAATGTCGTAAAGTAACGAGAATAAAAAATCCTAGCAAATTTCCTCGTACCTCTACGAAATAAAATCAAGTCGACACTATGAGAAAAAGTTGATGTTAACGTTAATGACAAATTTTTGTTCAGCTGGCAACGGGCGCCACGACGTTACATAGAATCACACATACCAGTACATCTTCCTCGGGGACGTGGCGCTTGGCAAATTTGGCAAGTTCGACCATCTCGGGTACACCTCCTGCTTGTCGTACTGTTGGTGAGGTTGACAAAGACAGAGGACACGCCGTAGACTCCCATCTCGTCCGTGTGCTACAAAACACAAAATGTGTGGATTTAGTACCAGCAGGTATCATCAGGTAACCGACCATCGGGGGTGCTCTTAAATTAAATGACCTCTTATATTGCCTAATATGGTATCTTCATGGTGAATTGGTAAGCAAGTATAATTAAATTCTAGATGGACTTGCGGCCCGGTTTATGCGCCCAGCGCTTAGCGCCACGGCGAGCCGCGCCCAACAGCGAATACGCCGCCCCCTTATTGTCCATTAGACAGATAACTTAGACAGGGTCTGAAAACAAATCCGCGAAAACTGGGCGAATCCAACCGAACATTTCGCGACTCGACGCCTAGAGCCATCTCCACACGGCCCTAAACATTTTGGGGGTGGCGCGCCGCTCGAGGGTAAGATGTAGTGGCTCCCTACAAGAAATGCAGTCAATCAGCCACCACACGCTCGCTCATTGCCGCACGCGATTACGTGGGCACTGGCCGAGTATAGCGTCATTCTGATCATCAGAGGTTTTACACGAAGACGCGTACGGCGCTCCACGTGGGTCGCGCGTCTAGATGCTATCTCCAAACCGCCGCCGCGGCGGCCAGGTTTTACCAACTCCTCACCACCGGCGCTGCCGCCGTGGCGACGGCACGTCGTGCGAGCACGTGCTGGCGGTGCCGTGGCAGTTTTTACAAGTAGCTAATGCTACGTACACGTACATACTGGCCCTGTGCGCAGCGCGCCCATGCAGCCAGGCAAAGCAAGCAGCAGCAAAGAAATACTGGCCCATGCAGCAGCAGCAGCAAGCAATACTGGCCCCTGCTGCAGCGCGCTCCTGCAGCAGCAAACCAGCAGCAGCACCAAAATACTGGTCCCTGCTGCAGCGCGAACCCTGGAGCAGCAAAGCAGCAGCAGCAGAAATGCCCTCCCCCCTAAAGGCCGCCGTAGCCAAGCCGTGTACGTCGTGACGAAACTGCGCGATGTTACGCTGCCCGCTATAACCGATCTCGTGCGCACCGCCCTCGCCTTCGCGCGCGAATTCGTATAGCGGGCAGCGCGAGATGCTACATACAACACCCGCGGTCGCATGCACCAGTCCGCGGAAGTGTGTGGCTTAACCGCTCTTGCGGTCAAGGAACAACGCGTTTTTGCGCAAACGCCATCTGTACCGCCTCTCTGGACGTGATGCGGCCATGATGCCGAGGCGCCGCCGAGATTGACACTTGTGTCTTTCAATCAGTCTATGCGCACCCCTCTATATTAAACTTCTAGGTAAATAGCATTAGAGCACGGAATCGCCGATCTCAGGAACTAGGGCATTCTGCTAGACTAGAACGGTTTCCTACGATAGAGTTTGGCACAAATACGAAAATAACACGCTGTTTAGCGCACTGCGCTAGTACTTATAGTTATGTTGCATTTTCCCATCTCCGTAATTAATAATAAGCGCCCGCCTTCTTCGTTGATGGACATGAATGGGGTGTGACCGACGTTACCAGTTCTTGTACCTACCGTCGTTCCCACAGCCTATTTACTTTTCGTAAATAATGAAATCCCCGGGCCGATGCATTTCGCATCGAAGAGAAAATTTTTCCGCATTTTTCACTCGTTGTCGAAGTGAACGAGTGCGTCATTCATTGAACAATTAAGCAAAACGGTTAGGGTTATATCACATCCCTCACAGCAAGCTATCCAGAAACCACCGCACCGATGCATGTATGCATGTATGCATGGCACATCCATAATATATATATTCCAATACCGCTGAATAGCCGAGCTGGTAAAGCGGCTGGCGTTACGTCTGAAGATCGTTAGTTCGAACCCCATCTGTTTATTTATTTTTTATTTTTTTCTATCTTTTCCATTTTAACTATTTTTCCCATTAACGCAAATATTTACATGATTTATTTACACAACAATTTAATTTTAAAAATTTATTTTTAAATTTAATTACATTTATTAGTGTTAATTAAATTTAATTAGGGTTAAGGTTAGGGTTAGGGAGTAGGGGCGTAGGCTGCGGTGGTTTCTGGGATAGGACCTGCTGTGAGGGGTGTGATTATGTCGGACTCTTATCATATCGTTATAACCTCCTAGTCCTATATCATTAATTAAATCCCCTAGGTATGAATATTTGGTGCATTTTTTTATTACTCGTTGCCTATTAATATCTCCTTCTCTATCCTTTCTTTTAAATTGTTTGTGAATTTTATAACCATTGTATTTGTTTTGTTCATATTAAATTCTAATCTTTTTGATTCAGCTAATCTGGAGCATGACTGAGCGATTTTTGTTACTGGTTTGATAATCTCCAATTCCTAGAATATCGTCCATATATAATCCATTGTCATCTTCTAAAACACAGACCATCCGCCTGACCGCTGTGGAGACATGCGCCGGACCTCGAATTGGCGCAGCGACGTCTCCACTGCGGACAAGCGCTTCATACTTGCGAAACTGCTCGTCTCATCCGCGCGCAGCGCTTAGGATCAACAGCAAAGCTATGCCACGCAATCTTGTATCATGTCTCTCTGGATTTAACTGCACGCACAGTATATCCATCTACATTACAAACCACAACAATAACAATGACTAACAAGTGCCGCGGAGTGTTTAAGTGTCTTCAGATTAAAGATGGAAGCCCCATCGTACGTAGTAGCAACAACTATTGCGCAAAACAGAATACAGGTAAGCACTCATCCATTTACCTATGCAAGCCTACAGGCTCAAATAGAGAGCTGCCACCTGTAACTAATTACAACAGCAAAAAACTACACAGTACCACCACCACATGCACTGCAGTGGCCACTGGCAGTGGCATACGTTACATGTAACACACTGACAGTACAGAATGCCATAGAAATTATACGATTTAAAGGAGCATAAACTTCTTCAACCAAATTTAGCTTTTGAAATTTCACTGTGACATTGTAGCCTCATACATCCAGGCATGTAAATATTCTACTAGCAAACGGGCAGTCAATTCTTTCTAATAGTAACAGTAAACAAATCCATGTTTAACCCACCTCTTGAGGGTCAAAAGGTATCACCGACACTTACTCTTCGCGACGTCAGCAGAAGAAAGTACATTTCATGGTCCTTTCAATAAAGCCATAAAAATGCTAGGTCACCGCTGAAAGAAAAAAGTTTTTCAGTCGCTCCGTCAGACCATGTCCTCGAGAAATATCTAAAATCTGCCCTGTGCCCCATTGACCTTGACCTGTGACCTCAAATTTCGGCACAGTGATGGCTTTTCCTACCATGATGCTATACACCGACTATCACAAGCCTAGGTCGAGCCGTTTAGATTTGTGCCGCAATTCTGCATTTCCTCCTATACCTTAAGTTAAGGAGGGAATGATCCTTCTTTTACACTTCTTGACCTTTGACCTTTGACCCCCAGCATCGGACATCCCAACTCGTTTTCGATTACCCCCCCCCCACCCCCCACGTTCCGAATATCGTGACCGTACGTCGAGCAGTTAAATTTGTGCCCAACTGTGACGGACGGATGCACGACGTACGGACGCTACGGCCG